GGGTTTAGGGGTTAGGGTTTAGCGGTTTGGGGGTTTAGGGTTTAGGGTTTAGGGGTTTAGGGTTTAGGGGTTTAGGGTTTAGGGGTTTAGGGGTTTAGGGTTTAGGGTCTAGGGTTTAGGGAGTCTAGGGCTATAAAGTAGGGGTTTTATATAGGGATAGGGGTTATATACGGATATATAAGGGTTATATCCGGAGCTAGGGGTTACAAAGGCTAGGGAGACATAGGGACAACGGAAACGAAGCTGGAAACTACGATTTAGGGTTTAGGGTATAGAGTTTAGGCTTGCAGGATATCACCCCCAATAAAAGAGAATCAAAAGGAAAAGACAATGGACAATTAAATCACGTAGAGAGGGTTCCAGGCTTTGGGGTTAAAGGTTTTATTAGAGTTTAAGGCTGAGGGGCCCTCATTAATCGGAATGGAGTTTTCGGTTGGTTTTACCATGGCAATCGTTATTATATAAGACAATATTCCGAGGTATTCTAAGAAACGATGGATGTATAAAGTTAATGATTATTTAGGCTTACACATTATATATAGGAACACGATCTTTTGGGTAATATTTCTGGGGGCACCAATATATTGCACCCCACATAGACAACGCCCTGCTTGAGCCCCAAGGTCTGTATGATACCTACGGTGGCTGCTTCGAGTCCAGAAACAGCTTAAGGATTCTCAGGCTTGGGGATGATAGGGTTCAGGGCTTGGGAACTAATTGGGATTGGGATTTTGGGATTGGGTTTTAGAGCTTCAGGTGTATGGATTTTAGCGTGCAGCGAGGTTCTGTGAAGCTGTATCAGGATTCTTTGAGGTTGGAAGGCCAACTCTCTGATCTATGGCCTTGTACATGGCAGAATCTTTATTCATGGTCCCCAAATTGGAAGCCAAATAAATGCATTCACCGATGCTCCTCAGAAAACCTACATACACTCACCCCACACCATAAAAACAACCTTACTTTACACATCCCTCATCCCTGCAAACCACTGCAGAATCCGAGCTTCCATTTTACTTGTCCATGCTTATTTCCAAGCTGAAACCCTTATATAACCCAAGTTTCCATTACATTTTCCATTTGATTCTCCAGTATCCCCAAGCCCCATTAACCCCAAATGGTAGTTTCCATCTAATTGTCCATTGTCTTTCCAAGTTGATTCTCCAATATTATGTTCTTCATCTCATCGAGCTTCCTCCTGCAGATGGAGCGCTGGGAATCCAGCTCTTAAGAAGCCTAAGACTAGGGTGTTCTAAAAAGGAGGATACGCCTAATATATGTATATATGCATATGAACTTCCTTGTGCAGGAGGGTTTGAGGGTCTCCCCACGCTCTCAGCGCCTGAGCTCCCATATCTCTGAAAAAACTCTTGAAATTTCACGACAAGAACGTCTCGTCTCATGTATTGCCCGGAGCCAGCAAAGCCTCAACCCAAAACGGTTACCAAACAGTGGCCTGGGCTCTGCGAAGAC